AAATTATTGGAATAAAGAACACCAGGAGTCAGAGATAAAAAGGCTGTGTTCTCAGAGATCCTTTTTAATTGGAAAGTCATTTCTTCAGGGTATTCTAATGGTTCTAGGGAAAGATTGCAAAATAAAAGTTGATGGGCTGGGGGAAGGTTAATAGCTAATGTGTTCTTCCTCATGCACAGCAGTCTCCTGTGTTTGTCACAATCTTTGCACATGTGTTAAGAATGCAAGCCTTACAGGCATTTTATTATTTTTTATCTGTTTATTTTTTTCTCCCTAATTGCTATTATTATTTTATTTCAGCTGTTCACTATATTTTCCCCTGTTGCTGTTCTTGCTATTACTAAATGCAAACTTTAAAATATGTTTCATATATACGATTCTCAGTCTCTCATTCTGACATTGCTCTATTCTCTCTCTCTCTCTCTCTCTCTCACTTTCATTTTTTTTTTACCAGGTTATGTATTATTAGTTATTAGTCTTAACATATAAATGTATTCAGCAAGGTTTTGTATACCTATAGTATATTATTTTCCTGTGTCTAATAAGGAAATAAGCAATGACAAACATACTGTTTCAGTAAACACCAACAGGTCAGTGGTATTAAAACACAGAGCACATGGTCTTTCCCCATAGTGCATATGCTTCTGGTCTGATATATACAAGATTATCTCTACTCTAATGGCAACTGAACTAGACCCAGATTCTCTCTTACAGCAACACTAAATTTATGACCCCCTAGCTTAACACGGGTTGGACACAAATTATTCTACCTCCAAGTGACAACTTACAGCTAAACAAAACCTATCCCGATAGCCTGGAAGGCTAACTCTCTAGTATTGTGGAAACCAAAAGTAGGGTCACTAAGGCCATGATCCATGTTAAATTTAGATGCTGCCCTACTGGATAGGGTCGAATACTACACTAAACTATGGGTAGCATTCACTAAACAGTGTTCAACCCTGGGTGCACAATTCCCCCCTCCCCAGCCATTTGATGATAACTACTCTTGTTACCATGATTTGTTTTCTAGGTGATCTTTCCTTCATTGCAATTCGGCTTGTCTAAAAAGATGACCATGGGCTGGCACTCCAGGCCTCTTTCTCCCCCCTTAATCCCTTCCTTCCCCTCTTTGTCTACTTCACATATTACAGCATGAAGCCCTATTTATTTACATTCTATATATACTTCCTTAGAATTGTATTGTTCATGTACCTGACCTACTCTGTACCTGTCACAGTTTCATGTCACTCCGTGTCTTATACTGTTCCCCAGTTCTATGTTTGTAAATTTTTTAAGTCTTTATTTTCAATAAATAATTTGAACAATAAAAACACAGAGCACAAAGCATGTAGTTCGTGATGCTGCAGTGATGGAGAGGGAGTTCTATTCTCCTCATATTACTTACCTAAGCAGTCACCCACAAGTCCTCCTATTAACATGCCCACCCAGACTACCTTAAGAAGCACCAAAGACCCAGTTCCTTTAAATCAATGAGAGCATGCACAGTTTTCTTCAATCAATGAGGGCTTGGTTACAAGTCACAAGCCTAAGCAAAGCGTTATTTCTACTATGTGAAACCTTGATAACTCACAGTATTAGCACAGTATAGTAAGAGTACCCAAAAAAGAAATGTAGGATCATTTTCAGATTCAAATTGGTCAGTTACAGTTAGGTTGGTCATGCCTAAAATACCTATATCACTCACTCAGAAATGCACTCAACCCTTTAATTTTGCTTAGATCCTACTAGGCCCGTTAAAAGTACAATAGACACTCTTATTATGTGCCATATGCAAGTCAGAACTGAGCATGCTGATACATGTGCTCAGAAAGTGCCCTGCTCAGTAAGTATTGTGGTGATTAGCTGTGATTGGCCACAGCTAAGAACATGCTACAGATTGGCTGTGATTGTCTTGTGACTCACAGTATAGCAAGACAAATGTACACAATGAATGGCATAAAAAAATGCCATCATTGTTTACAATTGTCATGTGATCTGCTGTGATTGGTCACAATTAGAGATGAGCGAAGTATTCAAAAATTCGATTCGACTGATTCGGCGAATTCGAGAGAAAAATTTCGATTCGAGTCGAATATATTCGCTGTTTGAATTTAACTAAAAAAGGTGTTTTTCTAGGCTTCAGAGAGACTTAATATTAGTGCTGAACACTGTACCTTTAATTTAAAATGCCCTTGGAGTCTGCTGGGGAAGAGAAATAATACTGTCAGTCAGTATGACATGCAGATGAGTGCCGTCGATCTTAGAATCACCGCACACTTCACTCATTTGGCCAGTCACGGGGCCAAAACCAGAGTGTGGAGCCACAGTGTGGCGGTGGAGGCAGCAGCAATGGGAGGCCATAAACAGCACCCCTATGACAAAAAATGGAAACCACCAGCAGTGTGAGGAGACCTGAAAGTGGCACATGGCAGAGGTGTGGTGGCGATAGAGACAGCAGCAATGGGAGGCCGTACAGGGACCCATGACACACTCTGGACCTGGCAGCAGCATGAGGAGGCGGTACAGGGGCCCATGGCAGATTACGGGCCTGGCAGCAGCATGAGGAGTCGGTACAGGGGCCCATGGCCCGATTACAGGCTGGCAGCAGCAATGGGAGGCCGTACAGGGACCCATGACACAATCTGGACCTGGCAGCAGCAGGGGAGGCGGTACAGGGGCCCATGACAGATTACGGGGCCTGGCAGCAGCAGCAATTTGGAGTCGGTACGGGGGCCCATGACACACTCTGGACCTGGCAGCAGCATGAGGAGGCGGTACAGGGGCGCATGACAGATTACGAGCCTGGCAGCAGCAACTTGGACAGGAGGACAATTCAGTTTCTGCAGCCCGTCTGGTGCGTGCTCGCAAACTGTTGTCTCTTGGAAAACGGATTCCAAGAAAGATGCTGACGGAATCCGTGAAGAGGAGTAGCAGGAGAGAGGAGCATCTGAACGAGCGGAATATGCCAATCAACAAGCGAAACAGGGGCCCATGACAGATTACGGGCCTGGCAGCAGCATGAGGAGGGTACCCATGGCAGATTAGGGGCCTGGCAGCAGCTATGGGAGGCCCGTAATCTGCCAGCACCCTATGACAAAAAATGGAACCCACCAGCAGTGTGTGAGGAGACCTGAAAGTGGCACATGGCAGAGTGTGGCGATGGAGACAGCAGCAATGGGAGGCCGTACAGGGACCCATGACAGACTCTGGACCTGGCAGCAGCATGAGGAGGCGGTATATAGGGGCCTATGGCAGATTAGGGGCCTGGCAGCAGCTATGGGAGGCCCGTAATCTGCCAGCACCCTATGTCAAAAAATTCTACACACCAGCAGTGTGTGAGGACCTGAAAGTGGCACATGGCAGAGTGTGGCGATGGAGACAGCAGCAGCAATGGGAGGGCCGATAACAGGACCCATGAGAGACTCTGGACTTGGCAGCAGCATGAGGAGGCGGTATATAGGGGCCCATGGCAGATTAGGGGGCCTGGCAGCAGCTATGGGAGGCCCGTAATCTGCCAGCACCCTATGACAAAAAATGGAACACACCAGCAGTGTGAGGAGACCTGAAAGTGGCACATGTTTGTGGGATGGAGATGATTCAATGGCGGATTTACAGTTGTGTCAGGAACTGGTGGTTTGAAATCCAGACTAATCCACGCCTGATTCATTTTCACAAACGTCAGTCTCTCCACACTTTGGGTGGACAGTCGTGTCCTCCGCGGAGTTGCAATACCCTGCCAGCACAAACAACCGCTCCTAATTCCGATGCACGCTACTGGCCGGGCATGACAGCCTTTCAAGGGCAAATTCAGCTAGTTGGGGCCAAGGTCAAGTTTTCGTTGCCCATCGTAGTCAAGGGATTGTCTACCTCGGTTGGCAGGGGATGCTGTCCAAGTAGGCCTAAGCCAGGCGTATATGAGGTCCTGCTCCAGGTCCACCCTGATGCTGCTGCTGCTGCTGCTGCCTGGTTAGTAGTTTCCTCACTGCGCTATGGGTGAAGAAAGCTACTCATCATCGACTGCAGACTGAGGCAGCCGCTGCTGGTGGAGCTGCCACTGCTCCTACCACCCCACCCCTCCCCTCCCCTGCAGCCATGGCAGCGGAACGCGAGCGCACAGGGCCCACAGTGTCTGAGGATGGACGTTGGCGCAGACAGGCAGAGACCAGCTGACTACATAGGTGCCATAGTACGTTATTTTGGCCTCCCTCTCAGCAGGTGTGAAAAAGGCCACCCATTTTTGAACGGTAGCGAGGGTCCAACAAAGGTGGACAGCCAAAAGTCATCCCTCTGTCTGATGGTTATTATTCGGCTGTCGTCTAATCGCGCAAGCAACCGAGCATGCTATCTGTGGGCCATTTGTGCCAAGGAATGCGAGGGACTCCATGAGTACTGCCTCCATCTCCACAGCATACTGCCACGGTGCGTCTGGGTCCTCTGTCTCCTCCTCCTCCTCCTCCTCTACCAGATGCTCCTGCTCCTCCACTCCCTGTCCGCTTGCTGAGTGGAAAAAAACCACCCATTTCACTCAATAATTCCTGAGCAACCAATGTCCTCCTCTACCTCCTCCTCTTCTTCCTGTCCTGCCCCCACAGGGGTCATGTGGCGTTGAGATCTGTGCGCCACGTCTACCGCACCCTGACCAGCCATTGTTAACAGCATTTGTTCCAGGACGGGCAACAGAGGAATGACGTCGTTCATCCCATAGTCCTGCCGACTCACGAATAGCGTGGCCTCCTCAAAGGGCCTGAGCAAGCGCAGGTGTCACGCATGAGCTGCCAATGGCTGACATCTAAGTTACACAGGGAGTACCTTTATCCGCTTTTACACATCAGGAAATCGGTGATGATGCCTTTCGCTGTTCGGTAACAGGCGACTAACATATGTAGGGTTGAATTCCACCTTGTTGCAACGTCACAGCATGAGGAGTCGGTACGGGGGCCCATGGCAGATTACGTGCCTGGCAGCAGCAATGGGAGGCCCGTAATCTGCCAGCACCCTATGTCAAAAAATTCAACACACCAGCAGTGTGAGGAGACCTGAAAGTGGCACATGGCAGAGTGTGGCGATGGAGACAGCAGCAATGGGAGGCCGTACAGGGACCCATGACAGACTCTGGACTTGGCAGCAGCATGAGGAGGCGGTATATAGGGGCCCATGGCAGATTAGGGGCCTGGCAGCAGCTATGGGAGGCCCGTAAATCTGCCAGCACCCTATGTCAAAAAAATTCTACACACCAGCAGTGTGAGGAGACCTGAAAGTGGCACATGGCAGAGTGTGGCGATGGAGACAGCAGCAATGGGAGGCCGTACAGGGACCCATGAGAGACTCTGGACCTGGCAGCAGCATGAGGAGGCGGTATATAGGGGCCTATGGCAGATTAGGGGCCTGGCAGCAGCTAAGGGAGGCCCGTAATCTGCCAGCACCCTATGTCAAAAAAATTCTACACACCAGCAGTGTGTGAGGAGACCTGAAAGTGGCACATGGCAGAGTGTGGCGATGGAGACAGCAGCAATGGGAGGCCGTACAGGGACCCATGACAGACTCTGGACCTGGCAGCAGCATGAGGAGGCGGTATATAGGGGGGCCATGGCAGATTAGGGGCCTGGCAGCAGCTATAGGAGGCCCGTAATCTGCCAGCACCCTATGTCAAAAAATTCTACACACCAGCAGTGTGTGAGGAGACCTGAAAAAGTGCACATGGCAGAGTGTGGCGATGGAGACAGCAGCAATGGGAGGCCGTACAGGGACCCATGAGAGACTCTGGACCTGGCAGCAGCATGAGGAGGCGGTATATAGGGGCCTATGGCAGATTAGGGGCCTGGCAGCAGCTATGGGAGGCCCGTAATCTGCCAGCACCCTATGTCAAAAAATTCAACACACCCCAGCAGTGTGTGAGGAGACCTGAAAGTGGCACATGGCAGAGTGTGGCGATGGAGACAGCAGCAATGGGAGGCCGTACAGGGACCCATGACAGACTCTGGACCTGGCAGCAGCATGAGGAGGCGGTATATAGGGGCCTATGGCAGATTAGGGGCCTGGCAGCAGCTATAGGAGGCCCGTAATCTGCCAGCACCCTATGTCAAAAAATTCAACACACCAGCAGTGTGAGGGAGACCTGAAAGTGGCACATGGCAGAGTGTGGCGATGGAGACAGCAGCAATGGGAGGCCGTACAGGGACCCATGAGAGACTCTGGACCTGGCAGCAGCATGAGGAGGCGGTATATAGGGGCCCATGGCAGATTAGGGGCCTGGCAGCAGCTATGGGAGGCCCGTAATCTGCCAGCACCCTATGTCAAAAAATTCTACACACCAGCAGTGTGTGAGGAGACCTGAAAGTGGCACATGGCAGAGTGTGGCGATGGAGACAGCAGCAATGGGAGGCCGTACAGGGACCCATGAGAGACTCTGGACCTGGCAGCAGCATGAGGAGGCGGTATATAGGGGCCCATGGCAGATTAGGGGCCTGGCAGCAGCTATGGGAGGCCCGTAATCTGCCAGCACCCTATGTCAAAAAATTCTACACACCAGCAGTGTGAGGAGACCTGAAAGTGGCACATGGCAGAGTGTGGCGATGGAGACAGCAGCAATGGGAGGCCGTACAGGGACCCATGAGAGACTCTGGAGGACTCTGACCTGGCAGCAGCATGATGAGGAGGCGGTATATATAGGGGCCTATGGCAGATTAGGGGCCTGGCAGCAGCTATGGGAGGCCCGTAATCTGCCAGCACCCTATGTCAAAAAATTCTACACACCAGCAGTGTGTGAGAGAGAAAGAAAGTGGCACATGGCAGCAGAGTGTGGCGATGGAGACAGCAGCAATGGGAGGCCGTACAGGGACCCATGAGAGACTCTGGACCTGGCAGCAGCATGAGGAGGCGGTATATAGGGGCCCATGGCAGATTAGGGGCCTGGCAGCAGCTATGGGAGGGCCCGTAATCTGCCAGCACCCTATGTCAAAAAATTCTAACACACCAGCAGTGTGTGAGGAGACCTGAAAGTGGCACATGGCAGAGTGTGGCGATGGAGACAGCAGCAATGGGAGGCCGTACAGGGACCCATGAGAGACTCTGGACCTGGCAGCAGCATGAGGAGGCGGTATATAGGGGCCCATGGCAGATTAGGGGCCTGGCAGCAGCTATGGGAGGCCCGTAATCTGCCAGCACCCTATGTCAAAAAATTCTAACACACCAGCAGTGTGTGAGGAGACCTGAAAGTGGCACATGGCAGAGTGTGGCGATGGAGACAGCAGCAATGGGAGGCCGTACAGGGACCCATGAGAGACTCTGGACCTGGCAGCAGCATGAGGAGGCGGTATATAGGGGCCATGGCAGATTAGGGGCCTGGCAGCAGCTATGGGAGGCCCGTAATCTGCCAGCACCCTATGTCAAAAAATTCTACACACCAGCAGTGTGTGAGGAGACCTGAAAGTGGCACATGGCAGAGTGTGGCGATGGAGACAGCAGCAATGGGAGGCCGTACAGGGACCCATGAGAGACTCTGGACCTGGCAGCAGCATGAGGAGGCGGTATATAGGGGCCTATGGCAGATTAGGGGCCTGGCAGCAGCTATGGGAGGCCCGTAATCTGCCAGCACCCTATGTCAAAAAATTCTACACACCACCAGCAGTGTGTGAGGAGACCTGAAAGTGGCACATGGCAGAGTGTGGCGATGGAGACAGCAGCAATGGGAGGCCGTACAGGGACCCATGAGAGACTCTGGACCTGGCAGCAGCATGAGGAGGCGGTATAGGGGCCTATGGCAGATTAGGGGCCTGGCAGCAGCTATGGGAGGCCCGTAATCTGCCAGCACCCTATGTCAAAAAATTCTACACACCAGCAGTGTGAGAGGAGACCTGAAAGTGGCACATGGCAGAGTGTGTGGCGATGGAGACAGCAGCAATGGGAGGCCGTACAGGGACCCATGAGAGACTCTGGACCTGGCAGCAGCATGAGAGGCGGTATATAGGGGCCCATGGCAGATTAGGGGCCTGGCAGCAGCTATGGGAGGCCCGTAATCTGCCAGCACCCTATGTCAAAAAATTCTACACACCAGCAGTGTGAGAGGAGACCTGAAAGTGGCACATGGCAGAGTGTGGCGATGGAGACAGCAGCAATGGGAGGCCGTACAGGGGACCCATGAGAGACTCTGGACCTGGCAGCAGCATGAGGAGGCGGTATATAGGGGCCCATGGCAGATTAGGGGCCTGGCAGCAGCTATGGGAGGCCCGTAATCTGCCAGCACCCTATGTCAAAAAATTCAACACACCAGCAGTGTGAGGAGACCTGAAAGTGGCACATGGCAGAGTGTGGCGATGGAGACAGCAGCAATGGGAGGCCGTACAGGGACCCATGAGAGACTCTGGACCTGGCAGCAGCATGAGGAGGCGGTATATAGGGGCCCATGGCAGATTAGGGGCCTGGCAGCAGCTATGGGAGGCCCGTAATCTGCCAGCACCCTATGTCAAAAAATTCTACACACCAGCAGTGTGTGAGGAGACCTGAAAGTGGCACATGGCAGAGTGTGGCGATGGAGACAGCAGCAATGGGAGGCCGTACAGGGACCCATGAGAGACTCTGGACCTGGCAGCAGCATGAGGAGGCGGTATATAGGGGCCCATGGCAGATTAGGGGCCTGGCAGCAGCTATGGGAGGCCCGTAATCTGCCAGCACCCTATGTCAAAAAATTCAACACACCAGCAGTGTGTGAGGAGACCTGAAAGTGGCACATGTTTGAGGCATGATTCATGGCGGATTTAGTCAGTTGTGTCAGGAACTGGTGGTTTGAAATCCAGACTAATCCACGCCTGATTCATTTTCACAAACGTGAGTCTCTCCACACTTTGGGTGGACAGTCGTGTCCTCCGCGGAGTTACAATACCTCCTGCCCGCACTAAACACGCGCTCCGATGCCACGCTACTGGCCGGGCATGACAGCCTTTCAAGGGCAAATTCAGCTAGTTGGGGCCAAAGGTCAAGTTTCGTTGCCCAGTAGTCAAGGGGATTGTCTACCTCGGTTGGCAGGGTGCTGTCCAAGTAGGCCCAAGCCTGTTGTTTGAGGTCCTGCTCCAGGTCCACCTGATGCTGCTGCTGCTGCTGCTGCTGCGGGCTGGTTAGTAGTTTCCTCACTGCGCTGGTGAAGAAAGCTACTCATCATCGACTGCAGACTGAGGCAGCCGCTGCTGGTGGAGCTGCCACTACTCCTACCACCCCACCCCTCCCCTGCTGCCATGGCAGCGGAACCGGCGAGCGCACAGGGCCCACAGTGTCTGAGGATGGACGTTGGCGCACAAAGGCAGAGACCAACTGACTACATAGGTGGTTTTTATAGTACGTTATTTTGGCCTCCCTCCTCTCAGCAGGTGTGAAAAAGGCCACCATTTTTGAACGGTAGCGAGGGTCCAACAAGGTGGACAGCAAAAGTCATCCCTCTGTCTGATGGTTATTATTCGGCTGTCGCTACGCAAGCAACCGAGCATGCTATGGGCCATTTGTGCCAAGGAATGCGAGGGACTCCCTCCCTGCCTCCATCTCCACAGCATACTGCCACGGTGCGTCTGGGTCCTCTGTCTCCTCCTCCTCCTCCTCCTCTACCAGATGCTCCTGCTCCTCCACTCCTGTCCGCCGCTGAGTGGAAAAACCACCCATTTCACTCAATAATTCCTGAGCACAAATGTCCTCCTCTACCTACCTCCTCCTCTTCTTCCTGTCCTGCCCCCACAGGGGTCATGTGGCGTTGAGATCTGTGCGCCACGTCTACCGCACCCTGACCAGCCATTGTTAACAGCATTTGTTCCAGGACGTGCAACAGAGGAATGACGTCGTTCATCCCATAGTCCTGCCGACTCACGAATAGCGTGGCCTCCTCAAAGGGCCTGAGCAAGCGGCAGGTGTCACGCATGAGCTGCCAATGGCTGACATCGAAGTTACACAGGGGAGTACCTTTATCCGCTTGTAACATCAGGAAATCGGGTGATGGCCTTTCGCTGTTCGTAAAGGCGGTCTAACATGTGTAGGGTTGAATTCCACCTTGTTGCAACGTCGCAGATCAGGCGATGCTGTGGAATTCCGTTCTGCTTGCGCTGCAGCTCAAGAGGGTGTGCTTTGCGGTGTAGGAATGGCTGAAATGCATGCAAAGTTTACGTGACATTTTAAGGATGTCTTGCAGTGGGATGGTGGATTTTAGGAACCGCTTGACAACCAGATTGAACACGTGAGCCATGCATGGCGCATGGCACAACCTTCCTTGACGCAGAGCAGACACCATGTTCTTTCCGTTGTCGGTCAACATGGTTCCGATTTTCAGTTTGCGCGGAGACAGCCATCTGTCGATTTCTCTGTTCATTACACTCAGAAGTTCCTCCCCTGTGTGACTAACGTTCGCCAAGGCATACCAGGTGCAGAACAGCGTGACACCGTTGC